TATTGATTCATTACTTAATAAGCTACTAAATTCTTTACTTCCAAGTGTAAAACTTTGTGTTATACTTTGTTTCCCAAGAAGTCCTCTTTGCTGAATTAAAATTATAATCCAAAGAATGATATGAATGTTCTGAATTTTTAGGAGAGATACCTAGAATTGTTATGGGGAAAAAAGCATAGGTAAAAAAACACATAATTTGTTTAGCTTCAAATGACTCTTCAATGTTATACTTTACTCACAATCATTCTCAATTGAGTTGTTCTCAGACTCAGCTACTTCTTGAAAGTTATCTTCAATATTGAAGTCAGTAGCTCTTTTGGAAAAACTTTCTTTACCTGGGAACTAGAAACAGAGATCAATTTATTAGACAGCAGTAACTGGTAACAGCTTGACAGTGCTGAGACTTTAACTCCTGCACTACCAGGGAGGCCCCGAGTAGTTATCTTTGGGGAGAATGCAAAGAGTAAGGATTGAAAGGGGTGAGGGTGGGATAGAAGGGGGCTCCTTGGGTGCTGGTAATGCTCCATTTTCCAAGAGTGGTAATTCACTGAGCTGGACCCTTGTGGTCCAGCTGTGCATGCACTATGCTTCAATATCAAAGGGGACATGTTTGGTGAAATTTCTAACAGATACTGTTTCGGACACACACACATCATTCTTTCTCCATGACTTCTACTTTCATGCCCCAGATTTGCATCTGGCAGCAAAATGAGTATTAGAGATCGACAGAAAATACTAGAAAAAAAAAAAATCTACTAACTGCTAAATATATTTCCTTTATGTAATCTATCTGCTGTCATGAAATCCTTGTTTTTTCTGAAGTAAAGAGTAATCCTTTGAATTTCTAATCCTAAAAAGGCAGAAAATCTCTCCAATAAGTTGTTTTTGTGTGAGACTGATTCAAGATATTATGCTTATTGTCAATTTACCATACTCCTTTTTAACTTGCAACTATATAAACATTAAAATCTGTTCTTTACAAACTTTAACACTGTCATCAAGAAAATGATTTGGCAAGACACAACTATAAAAATAGTTTTACCTGCAAGTCAATCTGCATACAGGTGCTGGGCAACTTTGGTGTCAAACAATGAGTTTTTGTCATACAGTTCCCATATGCAACACTCTCGGGGAAGTGACCGCTTGCCAGCTGGGAGCTGGGCCTTCTGACCATCACTGCACTGCTAGCTGATCCTCTCACTTGGTGTCCTTGGAACTCAACAGGCTACAGGTAAATTATTAAAAGTGGAAGAGTATAAGTAAACATTGACAATGTTTATACAGAATTTCTATTAGATACTACTTGATATAGAAGACTACTAAAGGACTAATGATGAAAACCAAGAAACATTCCTATCATCCTAAACATACGTTAAGGGCAACTAATTAAAGTACATTGATTGAACTGAATTCAAGTTCCACTTTAATAAGTGATTTGTTATATTAATAGCCCGGGGATGGGCACAGCAATAACGGGGTGATTAAGCCAGCAACTTGGCTGCTCCTATCTCCATGCCCACTTTCTACAATACAGTTTTCCTGTATAGACTTACACATACTACAGTGAAGTTTCTTATTTGTGTGCAAACTGAATTGTAAGCTCTTTGAGGGCAGGAGACTTGTTTCATTGGCTTATCACCTGCATTTAACGCTGCTTAGCAAGTCGGAGGCGATCATTAGCATATAATAAGGGAAGAACAGGAAGGAACATAGGAAGCACTTTCCTTGGCTCACAGGTTTTGTAAACTAGCAGGCAGAAGTGATGATGCTCTCTGTCTCTCTCAGTTAGATCTGGGACGAGCGCCCTAAAAGCAAAAGCCAGGGGGTAGGGTTCCCCACAGGCCTGTACCTTGAGAGGTCTTGCATCTCCTCGGACCAGGTGGGCGCTTACGCTTCAAATGGCTCTCTGCTGCCCTCTTGCGGGCGCTAGGATGTTTCCTTCTCCCACGGTGACAAAGCCCACCCAGACTGTGGACCCGTGGGATTGCTAATAGAGCCAAAGGGATTTACCCAAACAATTGCTTTATTTCCCACTGATAAACTAGAAAAATTAGAATAATTTATAATCTGAATGTGTTCTCATTTTAAAATGAAGACCCTAAATCACATGTTTGAAAGGAAAATCCAATCCAAAGTGCCCTTATATGGACTTGTTGAAATTATTCAGAATTTAAAAAGATAGCTCTTTCAGTGAAGAGTATTTATTTTCTTTTTTCTCTCCTCTCAGGTGTAGTCCCCGTAAAATTCCTACCACCAAGTCCCCCGTGAACCATCACCATAGTCTCTTGTGCTCTTTCCGCCCATTTTAACCCCTCTTCCTTTCCTGGCCCTACTGAGTGTCTGACTTATAGTTCCCTGCAAGTTTTGTCCTTTTTTCCCCCCGATCCTTTATTTGGTGCTTCTATATTCCTATCAATGAAGAGTATTTCACCTACTAAGGCTGTTTGTTTGATAGGAAAACACATTCTCTACAGAGGCCTTGTTTTCTATGCTGCCTTAGATCTCTTCTTTCAGGAAAACTTCTCCACATCCAATCATAAGCTGAAGTGATGGAGACTGAGTTAATGGCCATAAAATCTTCATTTTGTTGTCTCCAGAATATTCACTAATTGTACTTTACATGTCTTTGAGTCTAACTCTCTCCTCTCTCTCCAACCCCACACAGTTTAGTGCCTTAGTAACAGAAGACTAAAAATGTGAGACTTTTTAGTCTACTGAAAAGTCTTTTGCTCTTAAAACCAGGTTAATTCATATTAACGAAAATCCTGATACATGTGGAGAATAAACAGCGAAACAGTTGATTACAAAATAAGTGTTCTTCTTCTCCAAAGAGGAAATGCAGATGGCCAACAAACATATGAAAAAATGTTCAACATCACTCGTAATAAGGGAGATGCAAATTAAAACCACAATGAGATACCAC